GGCAGTCCTTCTCCATGGGGTACTGGGCGTATAGCTGATGGAATGTTTGGATAATGCACAGTCCACTTTTTCTTCTTTGACACATCTTTCCCAACTGGAGGCACCATGCAGAAGTAACAATTGCTGGTATGATCTGTTGGCTCTCTCCAAATCATTGGCACTGCAAAAGGCATAGATTTCCTTTTCCTGTTCAACCACTGGCGAAGATTTGTTGCACAAGTGTTGCAGCATGTGTGTGGGGCCCACCTCTTGTCCCGATCTCCAATTTTGCAGCCAAAATAAAGATGATAGGCTTTCTTAACCATAGCGGTTATACTGTGCTTTTGTGATGCAAAAGTCACTTCACCACAAACATAGCAGAAGTTATCTGCACTGTTCACACAAGTATGAGGCATCTCTGCTCACTTTGGCTAAACAGAAATGTGTCCCTTTGCAAAATCAAACACTGATAAATAAGAGAGCACGACACTGTACGATTTCTAGAGCTGATATAGGGCAATTTGTTCAGCTGAGTGATGCAAGCTTCGTTATGATTGCATCATCCATGACTTCTATGAATAACATGATGCAATTCATATCATGTATGACGCAATACCATCTTCAGATTGCATCATTCATTGTTTTGCCTAAAAAGCAAGTACTGTTCAAACCCAGTCATAGATTTATTCATAGATCCAGTCAAAGATGTATTTTTGTCATTTCTGGTTTAAATTGAGATCCCTTCCCTTTATAACTCACTTATCCTCCACCATTCGCAAGTCAAGGATCGTATATACTGACCCAATAGCATATCTTGAAAACTAGAGCCAATCAACAATTTTAAGCATCATTTTCGGTCTCAGTGACCCAGAATTAGTAAAGTTTGACTACATTTATTTCAGAAGCATTTTGGCCGTAGAGCAGTATAATCTGAGAAGAGCTGCCTACATAAACAAGTCATCTTAGGTTTGTTTCCAATGGCCTTTCAAAGCTACCATATAGCCCAGATAGTAAAAGTGTACATTACTACGGGCTTGTCTCCTCTTACCAGGAGAGCAGTGCTGCATGTGATTTAGCACTCAGGAAGAATATGGAAAATACGCTAAAGCACATCTAGCATGGCAGACAGAGGTGAGATGCATTCAGGTTGAAAATGCAAGATGGCTTTTAAACCTGTGTTACAAATCTACACTTTTGTAATGCTAAGTTTAAATAGTTTGACTGAAAGTTGACTCATGACCTGAAACACTATCGTTATAGGTGTTTCTAAAAGCACCTAAGACTATTCAGCTCCAATGGAGGGTGAGGTGCAGTAGGGGTGGGGGGAGAATCATAAAAGCTGAGTGCCTTTATGGCAGGACCTGAAAATCTAATTTTAGCTCTTGGGTGCAAAATATTCCTATACCAGCATTTTAATATCTCAAGGATTGTCTAACTATCAGTGTGTCAGAATCTAGTAAAAATGTGCCCATTTCACAGAAGTACCTCTTAAGCACAACTTGTTGTAACAGGTAGCTCTAAACATCCATTATGAAGCATCTTAACACCTCTGCTGGGATCAGGGGATTAAGCTCGGAAGACTGTGTTTTAAGTAGAGCACCTAGCACATCAGAGCACCTCAATGCTACTGGGGCTCTACATAAATATTGAATAAGCTTAACCCTTTAGTGCCAGCAACTGTTCGGCTTTCAGATTACAAGTGTTATTTAGCTGAGATATTAAAACAGTCTGCTTACACTAGAGCCTTTTCTGTAGCGGAGTGCTGGTACCTACTTTCCTCAGTAGGAGTTTAGAAAGAGCAGCAGCCATCATTTTCTAACATAGCATCCACAGATTTAGTCAACCCCACTCCCAAGCACCATTAACAATTCCACCATGAAAGGTTCCCTTAGTACAATTATGAAGAATCACACAAAGTGATTTTATTCCATACCTGTACTTTAAAAGCATCCCCAGTAATACGCAGAGGTTTATCTGCTCCAGTTGGTAACGGACCATCTTGGATCATAACCATTTTCACTCCTGTCCGCTCCTGCAAAACCCACACAACACATTAATAAGCATAGTCCCTAAACAAGAGTGAACAGTGTCTAAACTTTGGTCACTAAACACGTGCGTCAGATCAGAATCTTTTCAGCATGCTGTTTTTAAGCAAACTATGGTACTCTACTATACAAAGACCATAACTGTTCTACAGTCCCAGTACAGGACTGCAAGGAGGTGCGTTTCTTACCACACCTCATTCTAGTATAGAAACAACTGCAAAAAAAAGAATCCAACTTCTGTCTTCCCATCCAGGTGTAATAGTGAGATGAAAACCTCTCTAAAACACACAATTACTTGGTGTGTCATATACCTTTGGATGATACAGCCATAATTAAACTTAACAAAAATCATAATAACTATCTTAGCATAAACATATTTCTGAAGCCCTTTGTAGCTCTTTAAAGATTTGAGACATATACCAAGATAGAAGAGAAAGTATTTCCAGGAACACTGATTTACACACACAGATGTTTTAGTGGGGGTGGAGAGAGTGGAGATTAAATTCCAATTTAGCCTCCAGAAGTAATGAAGCTGATGAAACATATCCTAAGGAACACAACATAAGTCATAAGCAGCTTCACGAAGGCACCTGAATCTTGACCTGCAGAGCTAGATGAGGGCCCCTCCTAAGCAGAGCTGAGTGCTTCCCTTATGTAAACAAATCTCCACTAGGAAATTAACTGAGGACAAGCTCATTCCTTTTGAAACTCAGAGCTGGATCCGAACCCAGATCCCTGATGGTGAAAGACTAATATGCTACCCTCATACAGGAGGCACTAGAGGCTCTTTATTTTAAAGCACTCGTCCTTGATCTCTGTTGGGTCACATGCCACTTTCTTAAGTTGTTGTGAAGTGAATGGATGGAACCTCAAGCAAACGTACTACTAGTGATACATGCACTTTAGTTTGGGAACCTCTAATCTAGAGGAACTTTGCTAAGAGAAAGTTCCTTGAAGTAAAATCATCTTGCACACCTGCAACTGTTTTATTGTTTCGCCTCCTTTGCCAATGACTAGACCCACTTTGGATGCTGGAATCAGAATCTCCTGGATTGTACTGTTGCCATCAACATCGTTGTGAAAGCCAGGTCCATTCCGACAGCGATCTACTATCTGTCCCAGTAGCCTCTTTGCTTGTCTTTGAAAAGAACCAAGGGAAACAACCATTAGAAAACACGGTTTGATCTGCCTAGGAAACTAAGAACCACTGGGGTGAGAGACATTTGGGGAGAGGAGAAGTGAAGAGATGAAAAGAAAACCATGGTTAGCACAATGGCTTTTATGCTTTGGAATGCCAATCACCTATTGGAACTTGGATTTAAGACTTTTGATGCTTACACATTTTTAAAGCATTGGCATTCACCACATCTTGGATGTATCGCATTCAAGAAGAACCTCTATTGCCTACCTCCCCATTTTATAAATCACAACTGCAGTCTCATTTCCTGAGAGACAGGCAGAGAACACAAAAGATTAGATCACCACCCTCTGATTCAACAGAGCCACAGGTGAATTCTTTCTTTTCAGCTTGCTCTCGCCACACAACACTGGCCAGGGTTTGTTTGCAACCTCCCATCCTGGCTGGGGCTGCTACGGCTGTACAGAAAACGAGGCAGGGGTCTCGTATAGCAACCTAGGGATGCTAAGAAATGAGTAATTTGTTAATTGTGTAGTTGATACAAATTTTGTTGACTACACAATTAATCGATAAGGGGTAGCACTACTATCACTCTATGCCGGCTCTTGCCAGCTCTGGCAATTACCTCCCTGTGGCTCTCCACTACAAGCTGGGACTGAGCCAGCCTGCCACTGCACTGGCTCTTAATGCTGGGACCAGCGTCAGCCCCCATTGCGGCTCTGCAGTGTAAAGCATTCAGAGCTGGCTCAAAGGCAATCCTAGCTCATGCCAGAACCCGGCATCAACCCCCGCGCTAGCTCTTAGTATTTGTGGTGCAGAGCCGCAGCAGGGGTTGATGCCAGTCCCGGCACCAAGAGCTGCTGCGCAGGCAGGCCTGCTCAGACCTGGCTCATGCTGGGACCTGGCATCAACCCCCGTTGCCACTCTGCACCACAAGGACTAAGAGGCGGCGTGGGGGCTGATGCCAGGTCACAGCACAAGCTGGAACTGAGCCAGCCTGCCCCTATCCCAACTCAAAAATTTACTTATGAGAGGGAGGAAGTGTTGCATGTGGGCAACAACATTAACTGAAAAGCACCCACTTATCAGTTAACATCAGTTAGTTGATTACACTATTACATCCCTATGCAACCAATAAACTAAATGTTGCTTGTGACAGACGGATGATAGGGCTAGGAGGTTGCTCCCTGGCAGCTTCATAGTGTGTGAACTGACAGACAGTGGCTTTCCATTTTCACGTTAATTGCTACCATCTATGTGCCCCTTCACTGAAGAGGCTGGAGCCAGGTCACCAATCCCCCATTTTCACTCCCTCTTCCACTTAGTATCCAACAACCCTATATACATCAGGACTCTGCAGCATACCCTCTTATGCTGAATTCACCTGGGAGTGTCAATTCAGGAGGTGAGGGTCTGATGGACTGTATCCAACAGCACAGCATCCTTGGGCCTCAATCAGGAAGTGAGGCAGGAGTATTTTGAATTAACACTTTTTTAAAATATTAAATATTAATGAAACCCTTAAATTAATCAAGTTTATTTTTGAAAAGAGACAAATTTTAAAAAGATAGGGCATGTTTAAACAGAGCATCACCCACCCTCTGTTTTAATGTTTTCCTTACAGTCTCCATCAAAATTAATTTTATTCAAAATTTAAGGCCTTTATGAATAATTAAGATTTTTTAAAAAATAACAATCCAACTGCTAGGAATATTGCCCTATTATTGAATCTCCTTCCTCATTCAACTTCAAAAGTCTAAAGAAGTGGGATCACTTGAGACAGCCTTGGTTATGAGTACATGTTTAGTTGCATATTTCAGAACTTTACAGTGTTAAGATCTGCTCTTACCCATTTTTCCCCAAGTATCTCATCAGGCATTACAGCTTTTTAATATTTTGCTCTTGTTCTGAAATATCCTTTGCTAGAGGGAAAAAACCACCTCAATACCAGCGAAACTATATTGTTTGCCCTATAATGTGTGCTTGACTATTACACTTATTCTGGTTCAATGCTTGCAGAAGTATAGTAGAGTAAGGGGTCTTAAGCATTCTTATATCTCTTAGGAATGGAAGAATAGTGAAAATCTTCTCTTGAGAGAGAGAGACAGACAGTCTTTGTGCCTACATATTGTATTAATTAAATGCAACTCAAAGATTTCCAGATGGATTTTAAAAAACCCACCTACCCAAAGGTTGGGGAGAGAAAGAGCAGCTCCATATGTTAAGTGTGTTCCTGTAAGCCTGAGGATCCTGGATCCAGTCCCAGCAGGAGGTCCTCAACTGGTTTGTGAGAGTCTCAAACTCAGCTCCTGGGAAGGGGGAGGGAGGAAAGACTGTCCCTAAAGTTTCTATAGGCCTATAGAATAGAAACCCCTGCTGGATTGCCAAATGGGTCTCTACCATGCAGGGACCAGAGTTCAAGTTTTGAGTTCAGTCCTTCACTTCTGGCTGGCAGCAACGTGGAAGAGGCACCCGGATGTACCACACGCTGCTCTACAGCAACACCTCCAGTTTTTTCAGGAGTGCACCTGACAGGCTCTGGGGGCCTCGTGCAGCCCCTCTTCAGCTGGAAAGATGCCCATCTTGGTAGCAAAGTGAAGGGGAGAAAAGCAACCTTTTAATGGCTTAATTTAGTATCCTGGAAACTTGCAGTTAGTCAACTGCATCCTAAGTGCCCTAATATCAACCCTGTGAAGTGGAATTCCTGGGGAA